TGGAGGGGGGCAGTGGGGGAAAAGAGGGACATCTGATAACAAATATCATCAAAACATAAACCACAGCTAACGTCCTGCTTTCTGAAATCAGCAACAGCACAGGGACCACTCTCACCTGGGCTCTGCCCCGGAGGTCTTAACCAGGGTACTTAACCAGCTAGAGCAGAGAAGTTGCAGGATTGGAAAGGAGGGTGAAACCATCCTCACTCACAGACACTGCCACTGGGGATGTAAAACATCGAGAAGAATCTACACACAAGTTAGAATTCACAAGAAATTTAGCAAGCTTACTGGACACGGTCAATAAATGAAAGTCACTTGTTTTTTCTATATACAGGCAATAACCAGAAAATGAATTCTTTTAAATAACTAGCTATTTAAAAAACAACAAAAATAGTATCTAGGAATAATCTGAAGAAAGTTTTAGAGACCTTCGCGCAGAAAGCTGAGAGGCGTTAGAGGCAATGCGCCCAGTTTACCTGCTGGGAGACTCCATTGGCAAAGCTGTAAACTACTGAAGGAGGGGGCTGGACCTGGCAAAATGATTCTACATTTTACGTGGCAATGCCAATGGGTGGACCATTCAAGTCAACACAGCAGGACTGGGAGGCCCCATGTGGGTTAACGATGACATGTGGTTGAAGCATGTCGGCTGCAGTGTGGGATGGGAGGACAGCAGGGACAGTCTGAACGCCTCCAGGGTAGTCACAGGGGTTTGGGGATGTCCTGCCCAGTAGGCCTGAGCAGGGGGTCATGGGGTGGGGATGCTGCCTCCCAAGGGGCAGAGAGCGGGAGGCTCTTGGGGGAGTGTCCTTCCCTTTTGTTTATAAGACAGGAGCCTGGGGCCTGTTTCCAGGCTGTTAGAAGCTGGGAGAGAAAGGCGGGGAAGGGTCCTCAGGGCGTGGGGAGGAGGCCAGCGTTGCCCTTCTGGCAGGAGGGCCCCAGGAGGTGTGTGAGTAAGATAAAGTCTGCAGAAAAGGCAGGAAGTGGTGTTCCTGCCCTGGATGGTTTTCCGAGAAGGGGCCGAGTTTAGGAAGCCTTCTAGAGAGATCTGCTAGAGACCAGGAAGCAACAGGTGGGGCTGCGGTCGGGGCCTGCCGCACAGTGGGGTCTCCTAGGCGCCAGGGACACGGGGTGGCCCAAACTGAAAACGGAAAGACGGCCGGACAGAGATGGGGTGGGGAGCGGAAGGGGTCTGATGAGGAGCCAGGGTGGGGTTCATGCACTTAGGGCAACGGGGAGCCCCTGAAAGACTTTGAGCCCCTCAGGCTCAGACTCACAGTTGAGTTTCTGAGAGATTGCTCTGCCTTTGGAGGGGACACGGGGTGCAGGAGCACAGGGGTGAAAGCAAAAGTCCGGGCCCCTCGGCCTCGGCGATGGTCAGTGAGGATCCTGGAAAGAGTTAGACTCAAGATTAGAGCCCGAGATCTTCCAAGGTCTGAGGCCGGGGAAGCACAGGTGAGCACCCCAGCCCGAGCCGTAGTTTAGGGAGCCTTCTAGAAGGCGAGCGCCTCCCAGCAGGACGGCAGGTTTGGGGAGGAAGACGCGGGGTTCAGCTCTGTGAATGTCCCACACCTGGGCCCGGAGCTCTGGGGAGAAAAGTGGGCTGGGAATCAAACTTTCAGACTCAGCAGCGCAGAGAGGGTAAACAAAGTCAGGGGCATGAGTGAGGTTGCCAGGAAAGGGGGGTGACTGAGAAAGAAGGGGCCAGAGAAGCATCCGGCAGAAAAGGGGACACTGGAGGGCGCTCGGAGGAGCCCGGTGAGAAACAGGTGAAATGAGGACTGAGCATTTCCTCCGGGTTTGTCAACACAAGGGCCACGCATCGGCGTGGGGACAGCAGTGTCTGCGGGCTAAAGCGGCATGGAGGAGGTGGTGGGAGAGGAGGAGAGGTGAGGGAGGGCAGACGGCTGGTTCCTCCTTCTGTTAAGATGCCCCCCCCTTGGGGTTACCCACTTACATGCGGACCAGAAAGGACTGGAGAGGGGAGGACTTGAGATGAAAGGGACAGAGGGGCCGCACAGCCCCCAGTTTAGGCGGGACTGGGATGCAGGAAATATGCCGGGAGGCCTCCGCTGGAAAGGAAGTTGCCTCCAGGGTGGTGTCCCAGCCCTCAAAGGGCTCTTGGTGAGGCCACGACGCCCTCGTGGTCCAGGGACCCCGAGGGAGTCTCCCTGCTAGACTGCAGAGCTGTGAGGAGCGCCCCTCGGGCCCACAGTGACAGCCCCACCCTGGGGCTCACTGGACTCTCCCCAAGACATGCTCACCCTAAACTCCACCCTCCCTGGGACTTTGAGTCCTGGTGAAATATCCAAGGAGATACTTGGATTTGAACTTGGAGTCGCATGATTCTAGACAACTAGCACCACCATGTGTCTGGAAGAAGTAAAATCAAACAGAAAATCCCCTCTGGGGTGGGTGACCTGCTCTGATGCATCTTTTTAAGGGAACACGTTTAAAACAATTCTACTGTTGGTTTTTGTCTTTTGCAATCACGCTTCTCAGAAGTTCGTCCTTAGTCTCTGTTCCTTTTTCACAGCACCCTGTTCTTATATAACATCTCCCTCAGGCTTTCTGAACCTATGCATTGGGGTATTTTCTTCATGTTTTTTTTTTAGGCTTCCTCTGATTCCTCAAACTTATAGATCCATTGCCCTGTTTCTTTACCTTGGTCTTTCTCTGTTATATGACAGCTTTCTGTGAATATCTGACCGCGGC